GGAAATACGAACTTTTCTGGCTTTTCTGGCTGATTCCGAGGACAACGTTGCAGTCCTTTTCAACACCGGCTTTCCCTCACTGTTAAGTGTCGCATCTAATTTTAACGTTCTGAAAGAAGACTGATTTAGCTCTACAAGCCGCAGGAATTTGAAGTACAGTTAATTTAAAATTGAATTTTTTTAGCGACAAGCAAACATAATTTTCACAAAAGGCAAAGTGGCATCCACACCAACATCGTGCACTTCTATTAAAAAATAATGACTTTGTACCGTTCGAACGGTATTGTTGCATAGGGTTCCCAAAATTTTCATTTCCGATCTTTATCGGTGGCAAAATTTACCGCAGCGGTTTGAATCTGGAACTAAGATCGTATGTCACTAATAAAAGAGATCCAATGGTTAATCTAGGTTTCCAGTGCCGTAAATGGTTAAAGGATTTTTTACCAAAACTTAATTTTTCTGATTTTTGTGCTTAATGAATGGAAGTCTTTCAATCATTTGTTCAAATTGTCAAGTTCAAGTAAAATCTGAGATCAGCGGTTAAGATTCGTCCAAATCACGTGATCACACACTTAATGATACTAATAACTCATTCTGAAGATTAAACGTTCTTGGGATCTTTTTTTCCTGTATGGCTTAAACAACCTTTCAGTGGCTCGCCGAACTCCGTCCAGTATACTCCGCGACATACGAGAATTCAGTAATACCGCGTAACAATACGAAAAAAACATCAGTGATCCCCCGTACATGTAAATGCTAAATATCTGGAAAAAAATGTAACAAATTTCAAATGAAAAAATGAAGAAAAAACTGCGCTTTGTTCAAGATACCGAATACTGTTGATTAATTTTTGCAGCTTTTCGCCTCCTTAAATGACTGTTTCACAAAACATTTCAATTCAGGAAAAATCCATACATAAATAGAGTACAGACCATATCCCTGGCTTGTCCAGTGCGAATAAGTTCCACATCATCGTTCAGAAGATGTGATAGCTCCAGCACCAAACCAATTATTATTAAAATCAGAGCATAGAAACAAGTAAACATGGAAAACAACTCCTGCCTGCAAAATGCAATTAATATCACAGTTGTAAAATACTTCCCCCTCCCCTCTTCTCCTCCTCCTCCTCCTCTAAATTTGTAGTAAAATTAACTCACTACAGGCGTATAATACCCCAGTCGGGCGAAGATGGTGCGCTTTCATGGACGAAGGTACCTTGACCAGCTGGGACTTTACTTTTTTACATGCAGTATTAAAAGACTTTCTAATATTGCATTATTTCAAATTCACTCGATTTCTAACAAATTAGTGGCACTATTAATGAAAATTTATAGTACAATTAACTCACTGCTAGAATCAGCTGCCTTTTTGTTTCT